AAACATGGCATGAATGTTTCTTATGAGGTGCTGACCAAGTGTTGTTAATTTGAAGCCGATCCATAATCCAAGATGGCCTCCAGCAGGAGACTTAGTTTAACATGGGACCCTATGAGAAATACATACAAATGTCTTCTTTTAAAGACCCACTGAATGGAATGAAACCAAACATGGCATGAATGTTCCTTATGAGATGCTAAGCGAGTATTGTTACTTTGAAGCCAATCATAATCTAAGATGGCTGCCAGCGAAGAACTTAGTTTAACATAGGACCCTATGGGAAATACATACAAACGTCTTCTTTTAGAGAACCACTGAATGGAATGAAACCAAACATGGCATGAATGTTCCTTATGAGGTGCTGACCAAGTGTTATTACTATGAAGCCGATCCATAATCCAAGATGGCCGCCAGCAGGGGACTTAGTTTAACATAGGACCCTATGGGAAATACATACAAATGTCTTCTTTTAGAGAACCACTGAATGGAATTAAACCAAACATGACATGAATGTTCCTTATGAGGTGCTGACCAAGTGTTGTTACTTTGATGCTGATCCATTATCCAAGATGGCCGCCAGCGGGGGACTTAGTTTAACATAGGACCCTATTGGAAATACATACAAATGTCTTTTTTAAGAGAACCACTGAATGTAATGAAACCAAACATGGCATGAATGTTCTTTATGAGGTGCTGACCAAGTGTTGTTACTATGAAGCCGATCCATAATCTAAGATGGCCGCCAGCGGAGGACTTAGTTTAACATAGGACCCTATGAGAAATACATACAAATGTTTTCTTTTAGAGAACCATTGAATGGAATGAAACCAAACATGGCATGCATGTTCCTTTTGAGGTGCTAACCAAGTGTTGTTAATTTGAAGCTGATCCTTCATCCACGATGGCCGCCAGATGGGGACAATGTTTAACAAAGGACCCTATGGACAATACATACAAATGTCTTCTTTTAGAGAACCACATACTGAATGGATTGAAACCAAACATGGCATGAATGTTCCTTATGAGGTGCTGACTAAGTTTTGTTACTTTGAAGCTGATCCTTCATCCATGATGGCTGCCAATGGGGGGACTTCCTTTAACATAAGACCCTATGGGAAATACATACAAATGCTTCTTCTAGAGGTGCACTGAATGGAATGAAACCAAAACATGGCATAAATGTTTCTTATGAGGTACTGATGAAGTGTTGCTACTTTGTTGCCGATTTACTTTTCAAGATGGCCACCAGGATTTCTTATTAAATTACAGGACCAATATTAAACCAAATTTGGCCTCACTCATTATTAGGGTATCTGTTATGATTTTAATCTATTTTTACATGATTTCCAAAACCAAAGTAGAATCAGGTGAGCGACACAGGCTCTTGAGAGCCTCTAGTTCTAGTTTCAGGACAATAACTTGTGTGTAAGTGTATGGATCTTTATGAAATTGTACTGCAAGGTTCCATATCACAAAGGAAAAGCTGGGTTTGAGTTTGGGGGTAATTGCCCTAAATGTTTAGGAATTTGGGGCCAAAAAGGGGCCAAAAAAACAAGCATTTTTCTAGTTTCCAGACAATAGCTTGTGTTCAAGTGTATGGATCTCTCTGAAATTGTACTGCAAGGTACCATACCACAAAGGGAAAGCTGGGATTGAGTTTGGGGGTGATGAATCATAAGGGGGTTCAAAAAATTGGGGGGGATTTTTTTTTCCTTTTTTTTCTTTAAAATTTTCCATTTTAAATTGGTTATTTCTGATTTATATATAAAAGCAAATAATAATGATATGGTTTGAATAGGTAAATTAAAATTTTTAAAGTTCTTAGACCACTTTCATTCTGTGTGAGAAACCTATGCTGTGTCAAATATTTAATTACAATCCAAATTCAGTGCTGTATCAAGCTTGAATGTTGTGTCCATACTTGCCCCAACTGTTCAGGGTTCGACCTCTGCGGTCGTATCAAGCTGCGCCCCAGCGGAGCATTTTATTAGATATTCAAATTACAAAATGATGACCATACTTGTCAAGAAAATTAGATTAATTGTGCATGGTGCATGAATTTATCAGATCTGAAAATATCAATGATGTCATTGTTTAAGTAATATATAAAACAGGAGTAATAAACTACAATTATGGACAAAAGAAGATACCTCCAATTTATATGTAATATTGCCTCCCAATGCTTAATACAATGCAATGTATAATATAAAAATAGGAAGATGTTGTATGATTGCCAATGAGACAACTCTCCACCAGAGACCAAATGACATAGAAGTTAACAACTAAAAGTCACCGTTTAATGTTTAGTTTCAACTGCAAAATCTATACAATCTTTACCCTTCAGTGCTCAAAAACACTTTGATTATTTAAATTTTGTTGGCTTTGAACTAGCTTTCAGTAACTGCTAGTACTCTTAGATTGGAACTTTGTGTTTTTTTGTCCCTTCCGCTAGGCGAAGGAGGTTTACCCTTGTTTGTCTATGTATGACCGTCGCAAAATTGTGTTCTGTTCTTACTTTAGTTTGCCTTAACCAAATGTTATGAAACTTATACATAATGCTTATTACCACCAGACACAAAACAAATTCAAATTTTGGTGGCCTCACTTTCACCGTTTTGATTTATGTCCCTTTATAAATTGAAAAATTGCTGAATTTGCCGTTTCCTGTTCTTTAGTTACCCCATTACTGTTTATTATTGAACAATAAGAACCCCAGAGCAATCTCTAATGACACCATATAGAAACAAATGTCATTAAGCTTCAAAGAAAACAAAACATCAATAGGTTTAGATTAGTTTATTGACTCTTGCATATTTACAAGCAGAGGCATCTGTAGTTTAAACATATTTTATTGTTCAAAAAGGACAAACGGATTAGACACAAGTTTTTCAACTTATTAACGTCTTCTCCAAAAAAAGAGGCATCTGTGTCCTATGGACACATTCTTCTTTTATTTGTATTTATGTTAGTTGTTTTTTGTGCCTCCCTGCCAATCTGATTATTCAAGTCATTTTCAACTAATTTTTTATAGTTTGTTCTTATGTTGAGCTGCAACACCACTGTCCCAGATTAAGGAGAGGGTTAAGCACTCACAAATAAGTTTAACCCTGCAACATTCTATGTGTGACTTTCCCAAGTAAGAAGCCTGTAGTTTAGAGATTGTTATTCGTTGCTGTCTGTCATATTTGTTTTCCATTTACGAAACAATAAACGAAAAACAAATATGACCGACATAAATCAGCTGTTTTTTATGCCCCCGCCGTAGTGGAGGCGGCATTAGGTTTTACCCTTGTCCGTCTGTACGTACGTCCCAAAATTGGTTTCTGTTCTCTAACTTTAGTTTGCCTCAACCAAATGTTATGAAACTTATACACAATGCTTATTACCACAAAACGCAGATCAAGTTTGAATTTTGGTGGCATCACTTTAACCGTTCTAGAGTTATGCCCCTATACAAATGGAAAAATTGCTGAATTTTTAGTTTCCGTTCTCTAACTTTAGTTTGCCTCAACCAAATGTTATGAAACTTATACACAATGCTTATTACCACAAAACACAGATCAAGTTTGAATTTTGGTGGTATCACTTTTACCGTTATAGAGGTATGCCCCTTTACAAATGAAAAATTACTGAAATATTCGTTTCTGTTCTCTAACTTAAGTTTACCTCAATTAAATGTTATGAAACTTCTAAACAATGCTTATTACTACAAAACTCAGATCATGTACAAATTTGGGTGGCGTCACTTTTACAGTTCTTGAGTTATGTCCCTTTATAACGTTATATGCAAGGGGGACATACATCATCTGTGTCCCATGGACACATTCCCCATTTATTTTCATTTAAATTGTTTCACCTTTTGTCATGTTGGGGCCTTTTATAACTGACCATCAGTATGTGTTTTGCTCCTTGTTGAAGGCTCTGGTGACTTTTGGTTGTTAAGTCCATGCCATTGTTGTCTCATTGGCATTCATACCACATATTTTTTTAAAAGTGATCATTACTTGACATCATCTGTAATAAGGTGAAAGCATCGGGCCAATAAGAATGACATGAGATATGGGGTCCACATCAATGAGACAGTAGCCCAATGACACAAATAGAGGTCAATATTCAATCTTCAACAATAAACAGGTATCGATATGATATATCAAGCTCTCAATTACTCTTGAGTCTTAAAAAAAAGTTGTGAATAAATTAGATGCAAAAGAATCAGAGATCTACCATATCAACACCAAATTCTTCAGATAGACATGATAAAAAGCAACCAATGCCAAGATGTCCAGACTTGGGACAGGAATATGAATATGAACTCCCAAAAGAGTGTATTATATCCTGTTTACCTATGTCCATGTACCCATCTCTCAATTTGTCAGCAACACATTTCTGTCAAAAACCCTAAATGGTTAATTGCCTTATCACTTGTTAATTCTATGTGCTGCTACATTTGAATCTTTGCCATACATTTTGAGAAACTGTTTGATTTAGTTAATTTTATATTGCCTATTGGTTGTGAAGGATATCCTTTGCACTGAAAGCAGCACTATACAATCTGGCTTCAATCAGAATTCGACGAAAGTTCCAAATATGGCCATTGCCATTTTGTTTACATATGCCAATGACTTCAATATGTAGTTTTATAGTACCCGGTAGTTGTTTCTCATTAAAAGATGTCTCTAAATTTGAAAGTAAAAACTTGTCTTGAATTTCAGTCTTATTTCATCTCTGGAATTTACTTAAACTTGTCAACTTGTCAAGCTCTCAATATATTTAAGAATTTGCACTTTAATAGTTTCAACTATCTGTTGAAAAACCTTTAAAAATTTTGATTTTAATAAGGAAAGCTGCATCACAGTAACCAACTATGTATTGAAGCAATTTCTTTGTTGTTGAAGAGGGAACTTTAAAAATGCTGATCTAAAATTTTAAATGTATCAACTGACTACAAAAGTAGTGCATCAGCTAAAACTATAGTTACTAATTTAACTGTTATTTTCAAGGAGCTCCAGTATACTGTTGAAGAAATTAATAGGCAAAAAACAGCATTTCAAAATAAGATAGCAGATAGAGAAGCTGACATTGAAAAATTACAAAATCAGGTTTGTATATCAAATGCAGAATGGTTTCACTGAGAAATTATTTTAGATGATCTTCCCAATTACTTTATATTTATTGTCTACATATCCAGAATCCAGAACTCTAAAGAAAAAGAGGCAATAAGGCCCAAATATTAGTGCAATTTTAAAAAGTTATTATACATGTTCTTAATTAATCCTTACTATATACTTTAGTACAAGGTGATAAAAAAATAATAACATATTTTACATTTAACGAGTTACCATGGCAACAAACCATGACATCAACTTTTAAGTATATTGTGGATTGGAAAAGTATATGGGCACCCAAGAAACAACTGTATATTTGGTGAGATTACTTAAATAGCTATACTAAAGCTTCCAAAAATTATTTTGTAGAATTCTTGGCTGGAAAGGATGTTTCCACATAGGAGATATACATGGAAATCTGCTTAATTCAGCATTTTCCTTCTTTTATGTTGAAAGGGCACTTATTTTGACGTAATTTTGATGTCATTACATCAAATGTATTAATCATAAATATTTCTTGGTCTAATGCATTTCCAAACAGTATGTTCAAATTTGAAATAGTTCACAAAAACTTGTGATTTTCTTTGGCCAAAACTTGGCCTTAATGCTCCTATTTCTTTGTCCAACATGAAATAAAAAAATCATGACTGTTTTGATAAGTTCTAAAGTTTAACATATTACAGCTGAAAAAAAGTTCCTTTTTATTGTTAGGATGTCTGCTCCTCTCCAAAAAGGTAAGCTAGGAAATACCTTTGATTACAGGGAAACTTAAAGCAGCTCTTAACTTTAGTAATCCTCCTCTCTCAATGCCACTCTTAAGCTGATTTCTCATAAACTTGTTTTACTATGACAAGATGGTATAGTTTCTCTAAACATAAGGAGAGGCTTTGCAAGTGAATCTTGTTGTTAAGAGGATATAAATGATTTTTGGGATGATCATAAGCTTTGTACATACAATCACAACAACTTTATGGTTGTAATGATTTATTTATAAAAGGAGAGGTGGGGTAATTAATGCTGCAATCCTACATATATGGAACCAGCTGAGAAATGTTCACTTCATAAGAAAGATCCATTGGAACATTAACACCAAATATAAGAAATGTCAAAACAGAAAAGGAAAAGTCCTTTAGTTTGTTATAAATTGAGAATGTAAATAAGAAATTCTAATGTTAAGGTTAAAAATAAGACAAAAATTAAATGTTGCTGGAGTTGTTAGAAGGATAGATTTCATTGGTATATTTTGTATGCCCCAGCCGTAGGCAACGGGGGCATTAAGTGTTACCCTTGACTATCCGTCCGTCCATCTTTCCGTCCGTCCCATTTTCATGTTCGCACTCTAAAGTTTGCCTCATCCAAATTTTATGAAACTCATACACAATGCTGAGAACCACAACACAAAGACATAGTTCAAATTTGGGTTGTGAGTCGTTTACCGTTCTAGAGTTATGTCCTTTTTAATTTGGAAAATTGCAAAGCTTGAGCGGGGGCATTTGTGTCCTCAGACACATTCTTCTTTTATTTAAATCAGCATTATTTAGAGATAATATGTCATCCCGTTATACATATTTTCCTATATATATTGTTGTGCTTTTGAAGAATAACTTTTAAAAAAGAGCCGAAAGATACCAATGGGATATTCAAACTCATAAATCAAAAACAAACTGACAGTGCCATGGCAAAAACAGAAAATAACCAAAAAACAAACAACAGTACACAAAAAACAAACATCGAAAACTAAACTTAGCAACAAGAACTCCGCCAAAAACCGGGTTTCAGATCAAACTTTCTATGGTCTGTCATAAACTTGCAGTGAGGTGAGAGTGTTTGCTCCATGTATAAGGCCTCATTGTGACTTTGAGACGAAGAACAACCAAAAAAGTGCTGTTCCTCCTTTGCTTTTTGTGTTTTTTACTGTGCATGTACTGATTTTGTGTCGTGAATGGATACCCCATATCCTTTCTTTTCTGCTATACAAAATTGTTATATTCACATTTAGTTTTCTCATTTTCTTGAAAGTTTTAAGGCCAGGAATTTTATTATCTAGAGGAATTTGTTGTGTAACTTTTCATTTATGCTTTAGTCAAGTTAGAATAACTGCACAGTTTTGTGTTAAGTTTTCTAATCAAGTTGGTTTGAAAAATATATAGTAAGTAATAGCCACTCCAATATAAATTCAGTGACATGGCAGACCACAAAGTTCCAGATTTTGATTTTATCGCAAAGCAAGAAAAAAACAAGGAGATCTACCTTCTGTATATTTACATCAAAACTGTCAGACGACTTTTTGTAGGAGTTATTGCCCTTTAAATGACGAATTCTCCTTTTTGTCCCAAAAGCGAGACATAGCGATTCTACATTCTGTCGTCGTTGTCGGCGGCAGCCAAAATATTCACTCTGTGGTTAAAGTTTTTGAAATTTTAATAACTTTCTTAAACTATCCTGGATTTTTACCAAACTTGGACAGAAGCTTGTTTATGATCATAAGATAGTAACCAGAAGTAAATTTTGTAAAAAAAAAAATCCTATTTATCCGTATTTTACTTATAAATGGACTTAGTTTTTCTGCCAGTTAACATTACACATTCACTCTGTGGTTAAAGTTTTTAAAATTTTAATAACTTTCTTAAACTATCCTGGATTTGTACCAAACTTGGACAGAAGCTTGTTTATGATCAAAAGCTAGTATCTAGAGGGAAATTTTGTAAAAATTTATTTCCTGTTTTTCCATATATTACTTATAAATGGACTTAGTTTTTCTTCCAGTTAACATTACATACAGTCTGCAGTTAAAGTTTTTAAAACAGTTATTAGATTCATAAACCATCCTGGATTTTTAAAAAAAACTTGGATAGAAGCTTCTTACAATCAAAGATAGTATCTAGAGGAAAATGTTTAATAATTTTTTCCCCATTTTTGTTGAGCCTGCGACTAACAGCAAAAGTAGGCGAGACACTGGGTTCCGCGGAACCCTTACAAATTTTTTTTTTTGCCAATCTGAATAATGTCAGTTTCAAAGTATTTTTTGTTTGAATCCGAGTGGTTTTTTACAAACTATGATTTGCCTCTCCCTAAAACAAGATTATGATTATGTTATCATCAAGTAATAAATGTAGTGACATGGCAGACCACAAAGTTGCAGATTTTGATTTTATTGCAAAGCAAGAAAAACATGCTCTGTGTTAAGAGTTAATTAAGGTCAAGGCATTTCCCTAGAGTACATGTTTGAGTAACTTGTTGGAATTTTGTTTGATTATTCAGCCACACTAAAAGGTATGTCTCTTTCAATGTTGGATCTCGAGATTTGCAAGTAAATGTTTCAATTTTGTCAGCCCTAGGTTCATGTTTAATTGTAACCAAAATATATCTGGAGAACAACTGGGAGTTAATTGTTGATATACTGTATGATTATTCAACTCTACTAGTAGACATTTGAATAGAGATGGAAATTCTTAAGGCTTAATTGTCAAAGCTTTAAAACAACTATAGATAGAGACAGGAGCAAAAATATTCAGAATAAGGAGATCTACCGTCTGTATATTTACATTAAAACTTTCAGACGACTTCTTGTAGGAGTTATTGCCCTTAAATGACAAATTCTCCTTTTTTTTTTTTGCCTATGATCATTAAAATTATAACAGATAGACGTAAACTTCATAAGTAATAATGATCAACAAGACGTGATCTACATAAGTCTGCATGGCCAAAAATCGTCAGTTGGCCCCTTATTGGAGTAATTGCCCTTTAATGACGATTTTAACATTTTTAGCTCACCGGGCCCGAAGGGCCCCATGTGAGCTTATGCCATCACTTGGCGTCCGTCGTCGTCGTCTGTCGTCGTAAACTATTTCAAAAATCTTCTCCTCTGAAACTACAGGGCCAAATACCTTCAAACTTTAACTAAATGTTCCTTAGGGTATCTAGTTTGTAAATTGTATCCGAAGTTTTGATCCATCGACAAACATGGCCGCCATGGCTAAAAATAGAACATAGGGGTCAAATGCAGTTTTTGGCTTATATCTCAAAAACTAAAGCTTTTAGAGCAAATCTGACATGGGGGTAAAATTGTTCAATTGGTCAAGATCTATCAGCTCTGAAATTTTCAGATGAATCGAACAACCCATTGTTGGGTTGCTGCCACCGAATTGGTAGTTTTAAAAAAATTTTGCAGTTTTTATACGACCGCAAAAATTAAAAATTTTTTGGTCGTATATTGGTATGACGTTGGCGTCGGCGTCGTCGTCGTCGTCGTCTGGCATCGTCCGGCGTCGTCCGAAGACACATTGGTTTTCGCACTCTAACTTTAGTTTAAGTGAATGGATCTCCATGAAATTTTACCATAAGGTTCTATACCACGAAAGGAAGGTTGGGATTGATTTTGGGGGTTATGGTACCAACAGTTAAGGAATTAGGGGCCAAAAATAAGCATTTTTGTAACTTCCAGACAATAACTTGTGTGTAAGTGTATGGATCTCTCTGACATTGTACCACAAGGTTCCATATCACAAAGGGAAGGCTGTAATTGATTTTGGGGGTAATTGCCTCAAAATTTTAGGAATTAGGGGCCAAAAAAGGGGCAAAAAACAAGCATTTTTCTAGTTTCATGACAATAACTTGTGTGTAAGTGTTTGGATATTTCTGAAATTGTACTACAAGGTTCCATATCACAAAGGGAAAGCTGGAATTGAGTTTGGGGGTAATTGCCCGAAACGTTTAGGAATTGGGGGCCAAAAAGAGGCCAAAAATAAGCATTTTTCTAGTTTCCAGACAATAACTTGTGTTCAAGTGTATGGATCTCTCTGAAATTGTACTGCAAGGTACCATACCACAAAGGGAAGGCTGGGATTGAGTTTGGGGGTGATGAATCATAAGGGGGTTCAAAAAATTTGGGGGGGGATTTTTTTTTTTTCTTTTTTTTCTTTTTTTCCTTTTTTTTTTCTTTTAAAATTTTCCATTTTAAGTTGGTTATTTCTGATTTATATTTAAAAGCAAATAATAATGATATGGTAGGAGATACACACCAAACAGGATGTGTAAATTATTATATAATAAGTGTTGTGCAATAGCAAGAAATTTTCAATTGCACAGTATTGCACAATAGCAAGAAATCTTCAATTGCACAGTATTGCGCAATAGCAAGAAATCTTCAATTGCACAGTATTGCGCAATAGCAAGAAATATTCAATTGCACAGTATTGTGCAAAAGAAGATACTTTGTATAAATTGCTTATTTCTTGATCAATTTCAATGGGGTTTTATTCTTGAATTCTTGGGGTTCTTTAATATGCTGAATCTAACCGTGTATTAAGTTTTTGGATTATGGGCCCCGTTTTTAAATTGGTCCACATTGAGGTCCAAAGGGTCCAAAATTTAACTTTGTTTGATTTCATCAAAAATTGAATTATTGGGGTTCTTTGATATGCCGAATCTAACCGTGTATTTAGATTCTTAATTTTTGGTTCCGTTTTCAAATTGGTCTACATTATGGTCCAAAGGGTCCAAAATTAAACTTAGTTTGATTTTAACAAAAATTGAATTTTTAGGGTTCTTTGATATGCTGAATCTAAACATGTATTTAGATTTTTGATTATGGGCCCAGTTTTCAAGTTGGTCCAAATCGGGGTCCAAAATTAAACTTTGTTTGATTTCAACAAAAATTGAATATATGGGGTTCTTTGATATGCTGAATCTAACCATGTATTGAGATTTTTGATTTTTGGGCCCCGTTATCAACTTTGTCCACATTGAGGTCAAAAGGGTCCAAAATTAAACTTTGTTGGATTTCATCAAAAATTGAATTCTTGGGGTTCTTTGATATGCTGAATCTAACCATGTATTTAGATTTTGGATATTGGACCATAATAGGTGAATGTCCAATTTAAAATTTTTAAGTTCTTAGACCACATTTATTCTGTGTCAGAAACCTATGCCGTGTCAAATATTTAATCACAATCCAAATTCAGAGCTGTATCAAGCTTGAATGTTGTGTCCATACTTGCCCCAACTGTTCAGGGTTCGACCTCTGCGGTCGTATCAAGCTGCGCACTGCGGAGCATTTTATTTGTTATTATTTTGAATATTATTATAGATATATATAAACTGTAAGCAGCAATAATGTTCAGCAAAGTAAGATCTACAAAAAAGTTTATATGACCATAATTGTCAATTGACCCCTTAAGGAGTTATTGCCCTTTAAAGACAATTTTACACAATTTGTTCATCAAGTTTGCTTACATTTAAAAATCTTCTCCTCTGAAACTACTGGGCCAATTACCTTCAAACTTTAACTAAATGTTCCTTAGGGTATCTTGTTTATAAATTGTATCCGAAGTTTGTATCCATCGACAAACATGGCCGCCATGGCTAAAAATAGAACATAAGGGTCAAATGCAGTTTTTGGCTTATATCTCAAAAACTAAATCTTTTAGAGCAAATGTGACATGGGGTAAAATTGTTTAATTGGTCAAGATCTATCAGCCCTGAAATTATCAGACAAATCGAACAACTCATTGTTGGGTTGCTGCCACCGAATTGGTAGTTCTAACAAAATTTTGCAGTTTTTATACGACCGAAAAAAAATTTTGTGGTCGTATATTGGTATGATGTTGGCGTCATCGTCGTCGTCGTCTGGTGTTGTCGTCCGAAGACACATTGGTTTTCGCACTCTAACTTTAGTTTAAGTGAATGGATCTCTATGAAATTTTACCATAAGGTTCAATACCACAAAAGGAAGAAGGGGATTGATTTTGGGGGTTATGGTACCAACAGTTAAGGAATTAGGGGCCAAAGAGGGGCCAAAAATAAGCATTTTTGTAACTTCCAGACATAACTTGTGTGTTAGTGTATGGATCTCTCTGACATTGTACCACAAGGTTCCATATCACAAAGGGAATGCTGGGATTGATTTTGGGGGTAATTGCCTCCAAATTTTAGGAATTAGGGGCCAAAAAGGGGGAAAAAACAAGCATTTTTCTAGTTTCATGACAATAACTTGTGTGTAAGTGTATGGATCTCTCTGACATTGTACCATAAGGTTCCATATCACAAAGGGAAAGCTGGAATTGATTTTGGGGGTAATTGCCCACAACGTTTAGGAATAAGGGGCCAAAAAGGGGCCAAAAATAAGCATTTTTCTTGTTTCCAGACAATAACTTGTGTTCAAGTGTATGGATCTCTCTGAAATTGTACTGCAAGGTACCAAACCACAAAGGGAAGGCTGGGATTGATTTTGGGGGTAATTCCCTAGAAATTTGAGGAATTAGGGGCCATAAAGGGGCAAAAAAACAAGCATTTTTCTAGTTTCAGGACAATAACTTGTGTGTAAGTGTATGGATCTTTATGAAATTGTACTGCAAGGTTCCATATCACAAAGAGAAAGCTGGGTTTGAGTTTGGGGGTAATTGCCCTAAATGTTTAGGAATTTGGGTCCAAAAAACAAGCATTTTTCTTGTTTCCAGACAATAACTTGTGTTCAAGTGTATGGATCTCTCTGAAATTGTACAGTTCATACATGTGAACCTTCCGACGGGAGAACAATAATCCCTCTCCTCCCAACCTCCCGTTGAAGACAAAAAAATCCTGTGTATGAAATATTTCATGAATGAAAAATTTCAGCCCAACATATCTGGTGTACCTGACATTACTGAAGTTATATTTTACCTGTAAATCAATTAACATGCATAATTATATGGCCTCACTTGTCACCTTGGGTGTCAAACATACTGGTAATAAACGATTTTTACCTCAGGCTAACTGCTGTTGTGTAATAAAACTTTGTTTATTTAAAATGAATGTTGGGTTACTTCCCTTGATTTATCCTGTTTTAAGTTACTTTCCTTTAAATAATTTAAATTTTTAAAAGAATATAAATAAAATATAAATTAAACAAATAATCATAAAAGGATGGTAATTAAATGATTTTAAATGTTTTAGGACAAATAAAAAAATAATAATTTGAAAATTATTTGAGGGTTCTATACTTCCTTTCAAGGCTTAACTTGAAATTTATATAATAACTATGAGCCATGATTACAGTTTGAATGTGTTACTTATCATTCATTAAAAAGCTACTTGCATATAATGATAAAAAAAAAAAAAGCTACTTGCATAAAGATAAAAATAAAAGATCTACCTGCAGATAGATAAGCAAATATTCTGATTGCAATGAATAATGGTAAAAAAGATATGACCTAAAAAATTTAAAGAACATACTGAAAAAGAAGAATGTTAGATTGAACAAGTTGAAAGTTTAAAAAGATAGAGAAAATTTATAAGTACAAAGGTACTATAAACATAATACATTCGGATGGAAAGTTGAAGAAAACACACTTTAACAGACAATTTCTACAGCACAGGGTTACATTTACGACAGAATTTATGTTGATTAAAAACATCCTGATCTGAGTCCTAATCTCCAAAACTCCTGATCTTAGTTTCACAGTCAATCACATGTATGTGTACTGCAAGGTACCATACCACAAAGGGAAGGCTGGGATTGAATTTGGGGGTGATGAATCATAATGGGGTTCAAAAAATTTGGGGGGGGGGGGGGTTTTCCCCTTTTTTCTTTAAAATTTTCCATTTTAAATTGGTTATTTCTGATTTATATATAAAAGCAAATAATAATGATATGGTTTGAATAGATAAATTAAAAAATTTTAAGTTCTTATACCACATTTATTCTGTGTCAGAAACCTATGCTGTGTCAATTATTTAATCACAATCCAAATTCAGTGCTGTATCAAGCTTGAATGTTGTGTCCATACTTGCCCCAACTGTTCAGGGTTCGACCTCTGCGGTCGTATCAAGCTGCGCCCCAGCGGAGCATTTTATTTGTTATTATTTTGAATATTATTATAGACATATATAAACTGTAAGCAGCAATAATGTTCAGCAAAGTAAGATCTACAAAAAAGTTAATATGACCAAAATTGTCAATTGACCCCTTAAGGAGTTATTGCCCTTTAAAGACAATTTTACACAATTTGTTCATCAAGTTTGCCAACATTTAAAAATCTTCTCTGAAATACAGGTGAGCGATTCAGGCTCTTGAGAGCCTCTTGTTTTATGTTATCCCTATTATCTTAAAAACTGTAATTGATAAATATAAACTTTAAATGCAAAATTGATCAGTAAGACAAGTTCTACAAATAAATTGATATTGCAGAAGTAGTCCGTTATCACCCTTAGAAGACGATTTTTACCTTCTTTTTGTTAGCTGCGTATAGACCTAGGTGAGCGACACAGGCTCTTTCCAGGCTTTAGTATAAGTTCAATAGGATATATTTTGTCTGCCTCATAGGAATAAAGGAATAAGTTGGCAAGAAAAGTAGCACAGTTTGTTCCCATGGGAATGGGGATTTTTTTTGAAAAACACATTCTCCAAATGTAGCAAATATTTTGTCAATCTCTGAATAATATCAGTTTCAAAGTATTTTTTGTTTGAATCAGAGTGTTTTTTTACAAAGTATGATTTGTCTCTCCCTAAAACAAGATACTTGTATCTACGTTGTTAGATTATGATATTATCAAGAAACTAAGGTTCCAGCTACCTCAGGCAAAGACCCTAAATGGATTCGGCTATTCTTTTTATGTCCCTTTTGATTATATAGCTTCTCATGATCACCTATTGAAGTTCTTTCACATCTTTGGCTTTCAAATTTTTGGGTTGAGCATTCCTGATGAAGTTTAATCTTGAAAAGAGCTTCAGATGTATTCAATTAATAGTGTTATTGTTATTCACAGAACAAAGACTTATTCATGCTGTACCACCCTTAGCATCCTCATAAAGATGATTAATGTTTTCAATCAGATGTATGGAAATAATCCGGCCAAAATACTACAAATTTCCCATAGAAATAGTTGTGATATTACTATTAGTACAAAACAACTTAATTTTGGCATATCATAATAAAAAGGACGAAGTATTGACTCCTTAAGTATGCATTATTTGTGATGTAAATAAAGGCAACAGTAGTATACCGCTGTTCGAAACTCATAAATCGATAGAGATAAAAACAAATCCGGGTTACAAACTAAAACTGAGGGAAACGCATCAAATTTAAGAGGAGAACAACGACACAACAAAAACACAACATTAAAAATGTAACACACACAGAAACGAACTATAATATAACAATGGCCATTTTCCTGACTTGGTACAGGACATTTTAAGAAAAAAATGGTGGGTTGAACCTGGTTTTGTGGCATGCCAAACCTCCCACTTTAATGGCAACGTCAAACACAACACCAAAATGACAACATCACATGACAGGACCACAATACAAATAAATGGGAGAACATATAGGACAAAGAAACACACGAATAATAGCTAACAAAAGGTACTAGGCTTAAAATTCAATACGCCAGATGTGCGTCTCGTCCACACAAGACCATCCAGTGACGCTCAGATGAAAAAAGCTTGAAAGCCAAAACAAGTACAAAGCCGAAGAGCACCGAGGACCAAAACTTCCAAAAAGTTGTGCCTAACACGGCCAGGGTTTTCTGCCAGGGACAAGAACATCCTTATTATTTAGAATAATTTATAATTTAGCAAACAGTAAATTTTATAAAATGACTATATTATAGATATACATGATAAAACCGAAGTGGGGACTAACTACAGAATAAAAACAGTTACATTACATAAAACAACTTAATCCAACATATAAAAATACACAGCCGAGTTAGCCAAAGCATCAACGCACAAAGTGACGTCACATTTGAAATTCTAAAAAAACACACAATGTGACGTCACATTTGAATTTGTAAAAATATTTCCCAAAAATAAGATAGGATTAGGATTGATTCAAGATTAGATTTGTAACACTGACATTACATTTATTATTATATTTACATCAGTTTTGGTCAAATTTTCAATAATTCTTAACAGTTTTTAGCATAATTCACTTTTGCCGCCACCCATGATCCTGAAAGGTTTTGGGTCTAGGGATGCATTATCATCTTTGGCAACTTTTGGTTACAGAACATTTTGGATCCTAGGTTGCAACCAAGGGTTTTCCTCATGCTTTTAGGTCTGAAAAATGCTGAAAATCATTGTATTTTGACAATATATCCAAAATGTGCTGATTTTGAAGCCAAGAATGTACTTGTATGAAGAGATTATTTTAACAAAGAAGTAAGGCTTTTGAAATAAATCCATTTAAAAATCGAATTATGGCCATTTTGAAATTTTATGATAAAGTTGAAATTCAAGGCCACGTTTGGCCTAAAGTGAACCTTGTCCTTTGCTTTATGGATAATCCATTGAGCTCTTTACATACCCATTTAGTGTCTCATCGATAATTAGATATAAGAAGATGTGGTATGAGTGCCAATGAGACAACTCTCCATCCAAGTCAAAATTTATAAAAGTAAACCATTATAGGTCAAAGTACGGTCTTCAACACAGAGCCTTGGCTCACACTGAACAGCAAGCTATAAAGGGCCCCAAAAATTACTAGTGTAAAACCATTCAAACGGGAAAACCAACGATCTAATCTATATAAAAAAAGAGAAACGAGAAACACTTATGAACCACATCAACAAACGACAACTACTGAACATCAAATTCCTGACTTAGGTGCAAACAAATTCAGCGGGTTTAAACGTTTTAATGGTACCAAACCTTCACCCTTTTTCTGAAACAATAGTGTAACATCACAACATAGAAAGACACACTATAAAATATCAACTGAAATAGCTTAACTCAATCAAAGGACATATTAACACCAGTGAACATACACTGAACAAATAAATTTGACCTATGATACAATGTAAATAGAAAATAAATAAACTAAGGGAAAAATAATAAAAGTAACATGTTATACCGCTATGAAATGATCAACAATTTAAGAAAAACAATATGCTCGAACAAAAATGTCAGCCATTTGCAATTACTTTAAACACAGGTAAATGAAAATAATTTTGTTGTTAGGTATACGTGTACAGTTCATATAAGACTGTTATACCACTATTGTAATGGGCCACTTGGATTTATTCCATCAGTCACATGATTTTTGTCTCGCCTGCAATAAAATGTTGCAGAAAATGCAATTTAGGATAGTAAATAAGGTGATGAAAGTGTAAGCTTTTTATGCCCCCGCCATAGGGAAACTTATACACAATGCTTATTACCATAAAACACAGATCAAGTTTGAATTTTGGTGGCGTCACTTTAACCATTCTAGAGTTATGCTTCTTTACAAATGGAAAAATTGCTGAATTTTTCGTTTCAGTTCTCTAACTTTAGTTTGCCGCAACCAAATGTTATGAAACGTATACACTATGCTTTTTACCACAAAGCTCAGATCAAGTACAAATTTGGGTAGCGTCACTTGTACAGTTTTTGAGTTACGTCCTTTTATAACATTAAATGCAAGCGGGGGCATCATCTGTGTCCCATGGACACATTCCCTATTTATTTAATAAAGCTTCAGAAAAGTAATCTATATCTGGTATAAAGATGCCATAGGGTCTGAATTTTTAACCTGGCAAATGTCTGTTGCCCTTGGCCTCTACATTTATGTTGCAGAAGCAAGGCACAGTGATCCTATAATCAGTCAACATTTAGGCTCAGTATGTGGTTAAAGTTTTTTATGCCCCACCATTGATAGTAGAGGGGCATTATGTTTTTCGGTCTATGTGTCTGTTCGTTCTTTTGTCCATCCGTTCATCCGTCTGCCCCGCTTCAGGTTAAAGTTTTTGGTCAAGGTAGTTTTTGATGAAGTTGAAGTCCAATCAACTTGAAACTTAGTACACATGTTCCCTATTATATGATCTTTCTAATTCTAATGCCAAATTAGAGTTTTGACCCCAATTTCACGGTCCACTGAACATAAAAATTGATAGTGTGAGTGTGGCATCCATGTACTATGGACACATTCTTGTTTAGACATCAATTACTTTGTCAAACCTTTAATTTTATGAAATTTGGACAGAAGCTTTCTTATGACCAAAAGATAGTATACAGAGCAAAATTGTGAAATTTTTCTTTTTCTAGCCCGTTTACGGGACGTATTATGGTATAACGTTGACCGTCTGTCCATCCGTCCGTCTGTCCGTCCG